TACTTCGCCAATTTCGGTGAACTCGCTAACAAATGTTCTCGATGTTTATGTATCTCAGGATATTTTCCAGTCAAAAATTCTTTATCCAAATCAGTCAGATGGTCAATCGCAGCAATCAGAACCAAATCAGCTAGAGTCACTTTATCTCCAACAGCCAGCTTCCCTTTAGATTCTTTTAGAGATTCGCAGATTAACTACATTTATCGAAGAAAAGATTGCACAGTTTAGTTGACTGATGAAAATAATCACTCTAACTTAAACTGACACTGAATAAAAACATTTAGTACCAAAATCTGCTAACATGTTAAAGAAATACAGAAACAAATGACCCACCACGGAGGTGTTCAACGTTTACTAATTCTTACTGAAAGTCAACTTCTTCTGTGTCCCTACTTAATATCTGATTGTTTGGTCAACATACCATAAGTGCATGACTTTCCGATTCCTCAGATTTGTGTGACTCACATCACCAAACTCATCAAAATATGGTGAAATGACCTGTAATTCATTCTGATTGATACACATCTCATTATGTCAAATGTATGTCCTGGAAACACTCACAAACACCGACTTCACTCACTAACATACTTCACCGAAGGTGTGGATATGCCAACTCGTCAACCAATGTCCTTCTCATTAAAACAAATGTGGACTAAGATTAGTAGGAAAGTGTTTGAAGACAAACAGTAAGGAAATACACTAGTAATATTGTAAGTCAGCCCGCGCTCAAACAAAATCAAACGGTCACATATGAAATTGACTATATCTCACATCTTTAACAGGTTACAGCATCAAATACAACTATACACCAGCTATGTAGAATCCCAGTCATTATTATATGATGTATCGTAAAATAGATCATTCAGTAAAATATTGATAAGCACTAAAAATTCAGTGTAATTATTTCAGACATAAGTCAATTGAACTTGTAATATTCAATGATTTGTATGCAATTATTATTATTATCAACCAACGTTGACTTATTACACCGAACTAAAAATAACTGACAGTGGTAAATTTACTGTTATGACCATGTCAAACATACTTTTACTCGCTAGATGAGAACATTTCTTTACATGTTTAAGGGTTATATATGAAGGTGGTCAGTCTAGTTACATCATATGAAATAAGATTGCTCAAGTTTCAACACCGATAAGAACTGGCATTACTTTAATCGAGAATACGATTATCAATTAAAGTGAAACTTTCCAATTTAGTAAGAAACACCACAAATCGCTTTCCAGATCACCAATGTTAAGTTAAATATTTAACACAAAACGAACAGGTTCTCAAGTTAACTTACATTGAGTAATACTGGAACTTTGCCGCTCAGTATCTCTTTGATTATCTTCTCTTTCTCTTCTTGTGGCTTCATTAAAGTTTTGTGATATTCACCTTCTAAATCCTCAGCCTATACATTGTAGATAAAATCAGAAATAAATGACAATACGAATGTGCATATACAAAAAAAACTAATATTTATCCGATGCCAACCATTTAAAACCATCTATAACTAACATTTGTGCACAATAAGTTCCGAATAATTGAAACACGCATTATGATGTCAACGAATAACTTTCTAGTTAATCCATGTGCACATTCTGTTCTCCCTATTCAACTCATTATCATAACGGTGGATAAAATATAACACGAGAAAGTAATTTTGAAAGAGTGGCAACATACATAGTCATCAGTTAGCAATGTTATGATACCAGTATAAGTCTTAACTCACTTGACCAATCAATTTCTCAACACTATAATATTCCTCGTCTGTTTCACCCATCATGTGATGCTTCTTTGCCATATAGCGTGCAATAGCCAAACTCTCTTGCATCCACTTTACGTGCCCAGCATTATCGGTGATCTTCACTACAGGTACTCTTCCTCCAGGAATGGTTGGTTTGATTTTCGGCCAATCTTGGAAACTGATCTTTTCATCTTCGTAGTCTACACCAGCTACTACAAGAGTCATCCGAATCGATTCAGCACGTCCACGTCCGTTAAAATAGATAATCTGTAAAAATCACAATATACGGCGGTCATCTTAGATAAATCATAAGGTAATAATCCATGCTTTTAGGCATGAACCAGATCAATCCACTCTAAAATACTCTAGGTCTCTCTTTCACCCCTCCACCCATAGAAAATACATAATGGTAAAACAAATAAGCATAGACAAATCCTCCCGATACTTCCATATGCAAACTGTAATATTTTTCAAAGTATTACACTTAACTTAAATAACTATAATGGGTGATCACTGTGTAACCATAGTGGTTATGCATCACATTTAAGCCTAATCTGGACACGTAATTTCTTGACTTGACTAGGTGAAAAGTTACTGTCATGACTAATGTACGCATTTAGTGTGTGCAGTGTCACAAACACAGACTCAATACACACTCTTATATTCGAATGGCATTATTCATCCAAGTTTGCCTTCAAAATATTGTTGTTGCAATCCATAATGTTGGTCTCGAAAGTTCACCAACACAGGTGATATAGAAATCTCATTACACTTACTTTAATGTGTTCACCAGCCATTATAGCACAAGGAGAGTTGATTACAGACAAATAAGCCAGTGACTTATATATCCTCAGAGTCGACAGATCTGACCAATAGTGCGACGGTCACAGATTTCAAACTATCTCATTCGCATTATGAATATATGATTTCTATTCTCTTATACACAACATTGAGTGCCACATTAGCTGTGACAGACTAGCCAATAGAAATTAACTAGAGAAATTGGACTCAATTTATTGGATATATTAGCCAGTAGTTATAACGAAGCCTAATTTAATTGAAGGTCATGAAAAGTGTAAAAAATGACAAAATTTATTTACGATGCCAGTCCATGTTAAACATGTCCACAGGTCTTGATGTCTATCTTTGATTCTAGGAATAATGTGATGTTTAGTTTCCACATATCCTTTGTCTAAGGACTCTTATATTGTATTATACTACATCTCAAAAGACACAGTCTATGAACTATCACAAGGAGTAACAGTAGGCTAGTTATCTAAATTAATAAGTTCCTCTTTCCAGAATACAATATTCTTATCAGTAAAAAACGTAAGGTTAGCTGCTTGAAGCAGTGTGAATTGGTCTTGCATAAATTCCGTTCCAATTAGTTCCTTTTGTGACTGATAGAAATGAATCCATGGGTGACTCATGAATCCGCTTCGGCTGTTTTATAGGATGGGTATGGATTAGTTAATGTGACGTAATTCTCCAGTTAAACATGTTCATATATTATCAGTCGTATTAATTTCAACTCGAAAACCAATAATCTATGTTTGATTATTCATCAATAAGTAACTCTACGTTGGGTAGGTTCGCATTTAAGCGTTGCATATAATTATTCATTTTCTTCTGTACATTGAATGAATTATCTGATTCTTAAAGGTCACAGTTTTGTTTCATGCGAAAATTACCTGAATGCGAGTATTTATGTGTTAGTTCTATTCATTAATATCTTACGATTAAATAAGATGCCTTCATTGGGAATAGTCGTTACGATTTGATGTGAAGGTGAGAAGTACAACTTGATAGTCTGATTTTACTGTGCTGATTGAGACTAACAATCTTCATTGGTGATAGGATGGATACATAACAATGAAGTTTAAACTCAATTCACATTTGAGCAGAATATCATATGAGTTCTTCCAAGATCCATGTTATTTTGTCAACCCAAACTGATTATTAACTGATGATATGCTACCATATATCTGAACATTTTTTCTCAATCTACGTTTATACTTCGTCTCGGATTGTATTTGTAATGAAAACGTGCCTACTGGGATGATACTTAATGGTATACATTGGACTCTCGAAGTTAAAGGACTTATGCGTCAATAAGACTACATAAAATTAATATAGAGAGTCAGCCAGAGATGGCCGGATGAGATGACCATCAGAAATGTTAGAAAGGACGAATGCTTGTCGTTGATAAAGAAATGGATTCATTTTCTAAAAAAAGTTGAGTATATATTTATTTTGAACCTTTACTTAATTTGCCTCACTATTACCATGTTTGAAAAATCCTTATTGTCACTTTCGCTATAATTATCACCAAAGCAAAAAGTACACATTTGTGATTGTACAGTTTCGAAAATGAATACACCGAAAAGAGAACTCGTTGAATCTATCTCTCTTGTTTTATTATTCAGTAGCCAAACAGACTTCCTATGCTGCTCTTGCATTCTCGTTCAATAGTGTCACAACCAGATCTCGGACACTGCCTATCATAACAATAGTAGTTATACGCTGAAAGATGTGATTCACACTTGAGATAAATAGTTCTGATGAGACTGAGTCCACAACTACATTTACTAAACAAAATTTGAAACTAAAGAACAAGATTAGTGAATGGCAATACTCAAAAATGAAGACTATTTCAGCAAACATTCGTTTCCAATAATTTCTTCCTCTATGTCATCCACAGGTACGGGCGTTATCTATCTATAAATTCTGTGGTACAATACACAGCAAACCGAGACAAGTGAGTAGAAAAGTTAGGACTGAATTAGTTGACGGACTAACTTAACGATTGTTTACGTTAAAATGTTATACACGAAGGAAGGGGTAAGAACATCTTATCTTAGTATGATGAGCCGTCACCAATAGGTTGATATTATTTGCAAGAAACACAAAATAGGAGAGACGTGACGACGTCATCATGGCCGTAATAACAACAACCAAATATTCCTTACCACAGGAAATTCTATATACATTACTAAGCTACTTAAAACAACATTCTGGCAGTAATGTACGATAATTGCATTGTATAATCACTCATGACCTAACAAACGGATATAATGTGAGATACTCTTCTTAAAAGATATCAACCGAATGTAACATCAAAAGCATCGAATTCAATCTAGTTCACTTAACCTACGACATAGTTTGCAGATGAGCCCAATATAAATATCATCCCATTTCGCTTTATCCACACACGTCTTGAGTGTCTGGTTAATCATAGACAAAAGAAAAGGTTAAACAGAAAACTGAGTTTATTTTAATAACATTTGAAAAACGAAATACAATACAACAAAAATGACATCCTTGTGAAATGGTCGCAACATCAGTGCACTAATGTGAATATAGATAGCGTCAGTCTCGTTCCTGCAAGCTTTCTGTTGATAGTTTTAAAATTCAGTTGCAGGTCTGTTCGATAAATACTTCGCCAATTTCGGTGAACTCGCTAACAAATGTTCTCGATGTTTATGTATCTCAGGATATTTTCCAGTCAAAAATTCTTTATCCAAATCAGTCAGATGGTCAATCGCAGCAATCAGAACCAAATCAGCTAGAGTCACTTTATCTCCAACAGCCAGCTTCCCTTTAGATTCTTTTAGAGATTCGCAGATTAACTACATTTATCGAAGAAAAGATTGCACAGTTTAGTTGACTGATGAAAATAATCACTCTAACTTAAACTGACACTGAATAAAAACATTTAGTACCAAAATCTGCTAACATGTTAAAGAAATACAGAAACAAATGACCCACCACGGAGGTGTTCAACGTTTACTAATTCTTACTGAAAGTCAACTTCTTCTGTGTCCCTACTTAATATCTGATTGTTTGGTCAACATACCATAAGTGCATGACTTTCCGATTCCTCAGATTTGTGTGACTCACATCACCAAACTCATCAAAATATGGTGAAATGACCTGTAATTCATTCTGATTGATACACATCTCATTATGTCAAATGTATGTCCTGGAAACACTCACAAACACCGACTTCACTCACTAACATACTTCACCGAAGGTGTGGATATGCCAACTCGTCAACCAATGTCCTTCTCATTAAAACAAATGTGGACTAAGATTAGTAGGAAAGTGTTTGAAGACAAACAGTAAGGAAATACACTAGTAATATTGTAAGTCAGCCCGCGCTCAAACAAAATCAAACGGTCACATATGAAATTGACTATATCTCACATCTTTAACAGGTTACAGCATCAAATACAACTATACACCAGCTATGTAGAATCCCAGTCATTATTATATGATGTATCGTAAAATAGATCATTCAGTAAAATATTGATAAGCACTAAAAATTCAGTGTAATTATTTCAGACATAAGTCAATTGAACTTGTAATATTCAATGATTTGTATGCAAGTATTATTATTATCAACCAACGTTGACTTATTACACCGAACTAAAAATAACTGACAGTGGTAAATTTACTGTTATGACCATGTCAAACATACTTTTACTCGCTAGATGAGAACATTTCTTTACATGTTTAAGGGTTATATATGAAGGTGGTCAGTCTAGTTACATCATATGAAATAAGATTGCTCAAGTTTCAATACCGATAAGAACTGGCATTACTTTAATCGAGAATACGATTATCAATTAAAGTGAAACTTTCCAATTTAGTAAGAAACACCACAAATCGCTTTCCAGATCACCAATGTTAAGTTAAATATTTAACACAAAACGAACAGGTTCTCAAGTTAACTTACATTGAGTAATACTGGAACTTTGCCGCTCAGTATCTCTTTGATTATCTTCTCTTTCTCTTCTTGTGGCTTCATTAAAGTTTTGTGATATTCACCTTCTAAATCCTCAGCCTATACATTGTAGATAAAATCAGAAATAAATGACAATACGAATGTGCATATACAAAAAAAACTAATATTTATCCGATGCCAACCATTTAAAACCATCTATAACTAACATTTGTGCACAATAAGTTCCGAATAATTGAAACACGCATTATGATGTCAACGAATAACTTTCTAGTTAATCCATGTGCACATTCTGTTCTCCCTATTCAACTCATTATCATAACGTTGGATAAAATATAACACGAGAAAGTAATTTTGAAAGAGTGGCAACATACATAGTCATCAGTTAGCAATGTTATGATACCAGTATAAGTCTTAACTCACTTGACCAATCAATTTCTCAACACTATAATATTCCTCGTCTGTTTCACCCATCATGTGATGCTTCTTTGCCATATAGCGTGCAATAGCCAAACTCTCTTGCATCCACTTTACGTGCCCAGCATTATCGGTGATCTTCACTACAGGTACTCTTCCTCCAGGAATGGTTGGTTTGATTTTCGGCCAATCTTGGAGACTGATCCTTTCCTCTTCGTAGTCTACACCAGCTACTACAAGAGTCATCCGAATCGATTCAGCACGTCCACGTCCGTTAAAATAGATAATCTGTAAAAATCACAATATACGGCGGTCATCTTAGATAAATCATAAGGTAATAATCCATGCTTTTAGGCATGAACCAGATCAATCCACTCTAAAATACTCTAGGTCTCTCTTTCACCCCTCCACCCATAGAAAATACATAATGGTAAAACAAATAAGCATAGACAAATCCTCCCGATACTTCCATATGCAAACTGTAATATTTTTCAAAGTATTACACTTAACTTAAATAACTATAATGGGTGATCACTGTGTAACCATAGTGGTTATGCATCACATTTAAGCCTAATCTGGACACGTAATTTCTTGACTTGACTAGGTGAAAAGTTACTGTCATGACTAATGTACGCATTTAGTGTGTGCAGTGTCACAAACACAGACTCAATACACACTCTTATATTCGAATGGCATTATTCATCCAAGTTTGCCTTCAAAATATTGTTGTTGCAATCCATAATGTTGGTCTCGAAAGTTCACCAACACAGGTGATATAGAAATCTCATTACACTTACTTTAATGTGTTCACCAGCCATTATAGCACAAGGAGAGTTGATTACAGACAAATAAGCCAGTGACTTATATATCCTCAGAGTCGACAGATCTGACCAATAGTGCGACGGTCACAGATTTCAAACTATCTCATTCGCATTATGAATATATGATTTCTATTCTCTTATACACAACATTGAGTGCCACATTAGCTGTGACAGACTAGCCAATAGAAATTAACTAGAGAAATTGGACTCAATTTATTGGATATATTAGCCAGTAGTTATAACGAAGCCTAATTTAATTGAAGGTCATGAAAAGTGTAAAAAATGACAAAATTTATTTACGATGCCAGTCCATGTTAAACATGTCCACAGGTCTTGATGTCTATCTTTGATTCTAGGAATAATGTGATGTTTAGTTTCCACATATCCTTTGTCTAAGGACTCTTATATTGTATTATACTACATCTCAAAAGACACAGTCTATGAACTATCACAAGGAGTAACAGTAGGCTAGTTATCTAAATTAATAAGTTCCTCTTTCCAGAATACAATATTCTTATCAGTAAAAAACGTAAGGTTAGCTGCTTGAAGCAGTGTGAATTGGTCTTGCATAAATTCCGTTCCAATTAGTTCCTTTTGTGACTGATAGAAATGAATCCATGGGTGACTCATGAATCCGCTTCGGCTGTTTTATAGGATGGGTATGGATTAGTTAATGTGACGTAATTCTCCAGTTAAACATGTTCATATATTATCAGTCGTATTAATTTCAACTCGAAAACCAATAATCTATGTTTGATTATTCATCAATAAGTAACTCTACGTTGGGTAGGTTCGCATTTAAGCGTTGCATATAATTATTCATTTTCTTCTGTACATTGAATGAATTATCTGATTCTTAAAGGTCACAGTTTTGTTTCATGAGAAAAAGGCAAAAATTTATGGTCTCACAAACGGACTGACTAATGTTTTGCTTTTTAATGTATTGTTGACTGAAAAAATATTAATACCATGTGGATGGGACTGGAATCGCGAATGCGCTCTTAATTTTTTTCACGACGTGTCATATGAATATTTCTGTACCGCTAGTTGATGCACTTCCTTGGATTCACACCCAGCATTTCTAGCTTCAAATTGTGATGCCGTATTTGCGTTGACACCAGTTGTAGTTAGCCATTTACTTGTGCCACATTTGTTAATTTTAATTTAATTTGTATTGGTTTCGATTATTCCTTAGTTGATATTTTGTCTGCAAGATCGATTTCATTTGGCATATTTAATGTAGTCTCTGTGGCATGAGTTTACGTAGAATAGATGGATAGTAATGGGATACAGGTACGTTCAGCTGATAAATTGTTTACAAGATGAAATGCACATCTTGGATTCTACATGTACACTTAATTCGTAACAGCTTTATAGAGGTCATTGGATAGAGGTTAATCAAGAGTGATCAAAACTCAGGCAAATCATTAACCAAATCATCAAAATGATTGCAGATTAAATCCGCATTCTTTCAAGTTGGTTTCTTGAATGCTTTTATTGGGATTTCTCACGCTTTTCTCGATGATCTACCAGGTTACACTAATCCTAATGACTTACTTTTATGTGTTCACCAGTCACCCTATCGGGTAGAAGTGATTACAAATTATTCAAACAGTTCCTACTACATACACAACTGGTGAATGGATCTCCACAATAGTATGTTGGTCACAGTTCTCAAACTTTTTCTTTCCTGAACATCAATTTAGTGTCTGTCCCATTGACTGTAAATGAATGGCCAATAAACATTTACCATACAAGTTGAACTTATTTTATTAGACATGTAAACCAATCAGTCATAACGAAGGTTTCTTAAATTTATTTTTGTCTCATTTGTTGATTTTATCGATTGAATTTGTTAGCATACGGCCTCGACTATGGTCATTATGTTGGATAGCATTTTCATAATAGAGACCAGTGAGAAAATAATAACAACTTTCCAGACAGTTGATCCGATTTCACTACAATACTGATTGTTAATCATTCAAGTCGAAAACATTGGTTGAGCAAAGAGATCTCTTTTAAGCGAATTCATTTTCAAAGCTGTACTAAAACAACTGTATACTAAGTTGATTCAAGTAGGCTGCAGCTAATCGATACTTCGTCGAACAGCCGATTAATTGGCTTTCGAGCTCAAACAAACGCATACTGTATCACTGGTATATTTCATTCGGGTGATGACATTTCCCACGCTTTACTCGAAAGATTCTCCCAGCTAACAAAACCACTCGAGGAGATTCTATCAGTGACTCACCATGTAGTACACCACATCGTCACCCGCGAACCGCCAGTCACGGCAAGACCTCTCCGACTGGCACGGGACAAATTAGGTACTATCCTGTGCGACAACTCTACTGGTTTACCCCGACCCATTGTACCTTCTGCTTGTCGTCGTCTCATCTTCGATGCCCTTCATGATTTGTCTCATCCAGGTATCACAGTTGCATTACGTCTCATCTCTTTAAGATACGTCTGGCCCTCCATGAATAGAGATGTCCGAATGTGGGCGATGCAATGCTTACAATGTCAACGATCAAAAGTGTACAGGCACGTAGCCGTCCCTATCAGCACATTTGCTACCGCTACCTTACCGCTCGTCCTCCTAGGTATCAGAACGAGCTTAAAAGCAGATATTCAATGTTCCGTCGCTAAATTGGTATACGGCACGACATTGCGTCTGCCTAGGGAACTTTTCACACCACGGAGCAGTGATAACTTCGGTAAATCAGACTACGTCCAATGAGCACTGCCTCCGGTGTCAACTCGAGTACAACATCGACTGGTCGCCCTCCCTCGAGAGTTATCTACTTGTTCTAATGTTTTCATACGAGTCCATTCGGTACGCAGACCTTCGCAACAACCTTATGAAGGGCCTTTTCATGTGATTTCTCTTTTCCATTTATTTTTTTATCCTGAGCCCATGTCAACGACCATCACCCTGTTGGGACCGTCGACTTCAGTCAATCTTTTTGAAAGCTGGCCTGATCACCCACTCTCTTGCCGATGCACTCAGTCGATGTTCTGGTTTCGAACTTGGTAGTTCTGGTCGCTTCTGGCACCCTCGCTCAATCTGGTTCCGTCCTACGTCTGCAGCGTTTTCTGGTCCGGACCGCTACAAACGTAGTTTTCAGATTCTGGATACGAGGAACGCTGGTGTGGCACGCCAACTCGAGCAGCAGACCTGGCACGTTACTACTGGTACAGTTAAACGTAGAAGACTTTCGGTGACAACTGGAGGTTCATTGGTCACTTCCTGTTCATCAACTCTTAGGTGCTACAATCGCACGTTCACCGGACAGCCCCCACCCGCACGAAGCCGCTACGTATCGAAAGTATAAACCCTTTCTAGAGGGGCGGCTGATGTAATGTACCACTTCTACGAAGGAAATGCAATCGGTGAAAAGGAATCATTTATTACTGTATCCCTTATTTTAACTGTGCTAAAAACACTAACTTACACGCAACTTTCTGTTTGAAATGCTGTAACAGATCGTTAAGTGCTGCTAATTATATCGCCCGCTTTCTCCTTCAAAAATATTCTCTACCCTGGATTTACATTTTATCACTGTGACCAGTTAGTAATTAGTATTTTGTGGTGATCATAGTCAAACTTGACTCGATCACTATTAAAACATTATGGCATTTTTCTGAAATATCATGACGTTTAAGATATCGGACAGATGGCATATCAATTGCCACGAAGTAAATCACATTATTATTGTCCATGCTATTACCACGATAGCCGCCAAACTTTTCAGACCTGTGTGGTCTATATTTATAGCCTTTATCTTTACCGATGATAAGATATTAATAACTTTGTTCATTGTATTTGTTTGTCCTTAACAGTAGCATTTGCTTAAACCAGCGAGTTCCTGTATAAAAAGCGACAAAGTGTTGTTGGAACCGGTTCAAATGACTGCAACTAGGTTGACTCCTCCAATCACAAGGCTGCTGTGTGACAAGAAACTGGCTGAACTAATCGTATACTCTTTATCATAAAGAAGGATCACAAGCGACATACAAATGGTTTTTTAGTTATATAAGGATAAATTCGCAGCCCACATGTCCTTGTTTCTATCGCCCTTAAAAACTGAATCAAACAGGGCACTCTCAAAGATTTCAAGGATCCAGAACAAATGACTTGTCAGAAAGATACCGACTTCCAAATCAAATCCTCATTGAATGACACCAGTTACTAGGAAAAAAGGATGAAATGTCATCTTTTGACTCACTCAAGAGGTAAGTGTGTGGTTGAACACTTCTACGAAGAGAACGCAATTAATGAAAAGGAAATATTTATTATTGTACTCCTTTTTGTTTAACTGTATTAAAAAATACTTACTTATGAACAACTTTCTGCTTTTGCGTTGGTGTCATTATTTATAACTTGCTGTTCGTTATATCGCCCACTTTCTCCTTCGAATATATTCTTTACCCTGAATTTACTTATGCTTCGTTGACGGGATAGTAATTAGTATTTAGTGATGATCATAGTCAATCTCTATTCGGTCACCATTGAAAATATGGATGCGAAACATGGCCGTTATGAGTAGAGGATATTCGTAGGTTGCTGGTTTTCGATCATAGGTGTCTCCGATGCATTGCTCGTGTATCGTAGGACAAACGAGCAAGTAATGCTGTTGTTAGGAAACGGGTGCTATGTTAGGATGGCAGATAAATAGATGAAGTATTGACACTTCATCAGTTGAGGTGGTTGGGACATGTGTTACGAATGCCTGACCACCGACTGCCACGACGAGCTATGTTTTGTGATGTAGGAGTAGGTTCGAGGAAAGTTAGGGGCGGCCAAAACAAAACATGGCACAAATCCGTGAAGTAACTGATAAGTGGACTGAGTCATGTTGGCAGATATAGGCTACCTGGTCGTGATCCGCGACATGTTAATAATCGATAGTTAGAGACCTTGAATGACAAAGCTCAAAACTCTTTGCTAATACGGTATGGCAACCACAACTAATATATTCACGTACAAAGTTCTAGGGTACAAATGACTGAATGACTGATAAGAATGATTTCTAGGCAAATTAATGATTCAAATGTATCATTGCAAACTAAAGAATATCGGCACACAACCCACTAATATGAACATATATTAAATAATCCGTACTCAAAAACGTACTTACTTCTATGAACAACATTTAAATAA